GGCCTCTCTCTCCTTCCCTTCCTCCAGCTGGGTTGCTGCTGCTGCTGCTGCAGTTGTTTCCGGAGCGCCGCACGTGGGCGGAGCGGGGCCTCTTGCAAGCTAGGTCTCCTCGGGAGGAAGGCTGGCACATCTGGAGTCGGCGTAGCCTAGAAATTGCACGGTGAGTTCCTCCGCCCACCCCTCGTTCCGTGCCGGTAAAAACGCGGCGTTGTCCGGGTGGTTCCGAGCAGCCCCGGCCCTTGCCTCGGGGGATATGGGCACCGGGGAGTAACGGCTTGCGTTACAAACGTCAATGTAACGACCCCTCCCTGTCCCCGTTTCCTCTTTCCTTTGGCACCCAGACCGACCGATCGACACCCCCCTCCAGCCCCGCGCATTCAGGCGCTGATGTGGGGGCTGATCAGAGGGGACAACTTCAGAGGGTGACAGGCAGCTCCTTTCGCTTTTCTTTTCAAAGTTACTTCCGGAAAGACCCGCATGTATAAATCGTTACCTAGGATTGCACCGTTAAGTTCCTTTGCCCCAGCCCTCAGTTGCAATCCCTGTTTTCAGACTTTTGTTTATATCCTTTATTATTGCTGAAGGCAATGATAATCATAGTAGTAGTAATAAATATGTGTTTATATTGTGCTCTACACCAGAGTTAATTCCAGTTAATCAGTGCAAAGGTGTGGGGGATGTTAAATTTAATTTTTACGCACTGTTCTCTTTCCTGTCATTTGTGAGACTTTGATTCCAAAATTCTCACCCAATAGTTACTGGATTTCATATTTTCATCTCGGATTTTGCAGTTATGGGACCATGAAACTGTCCATTTGCTCCGTTACTGTGACGTGCTTTAAGAATCTGTGTAAAAGTATTTGAGTTGAATGTTGATCTAATGAGAAAATATTCTGCTTCTAGATTTGGGACAATATAAAAGTCGGGAAAGAGAGCAATGAAGGAGAAGACCTCTGCAGACCTAGAATTAGAAGAGGGAGGCGCAATCAGGGCAGGAAAAGCCACCAGCATACTTCAACTGGAATATATGGTGGAACGGAGTTTGCACGAGGGCCAAGGAGAAGGGGGTCAGAGGGTGCAAGAGGACTGGGATGCCCAGTGGCAGGATTTTTTGAAGACCCTGCAGCCCATTCACTCAGGAGAGGAGCACCTCGTGACGAAGGAGATGATGGCCCCGTGGGATGATACCAAGGCCTTCCTGGGCTCCTTCGAAGAAGTGGCCAAAGCTTGCCGGTGGCCCAAAGAGGAGTGGGTGACCCGGCTCCTGCCAGCACTTCATGGGGAAGCAGAAGAGGCCTTTCAGAGCCTGGAAGCCAGAGACAGGGAGGATTATGGGAAAGTGAAGGCTGCCATCTTGCGACGGGATGCCCTGAGGATGGAGATGAGACGCCAGCATTTCAGGGACTTCTACTGCCAGGAGGTGGAAGACCCCCGGAGGCTTCACAGCCAAGTCCAAGAGCTTTGCCACCGGTGGCTGAGGCCGGAGAGACGCAGCAAGGAGCAGATCCTGGAGCTGCTGATCCTGGCGCAGTTCCTGGCCAGCCTTCCCCCGGACCTCCAGGGCTGGATACGGGCAGGAGGGCCCGACACGTGTTCCCAGGCCGTGGCCCTGGTGGAGGACTTCCTCATGAGCCAGGAAGGGGCTGAGACGAGAAGCTGGCAGGTAAGGTTTTGTGATTTAATCTATGCCGTTTTTAACCGGGATGCTGGATGTGGATCAGGCTCTTGGAAGCATGCGGAGTTGTTTTTGGTTGGAACAAAGATAGGGAATATGCAACCCCCAGCACATGCAGAGACAGGAGCAGAGGATACAAAAAAATTGGTTTTAAGCAAGTTCAGTAACTCCTGGTTACCAAACCTGTATGAGGCGTCTTGCCAGTCTGTCTGTATTCTTTGTTTCATGTAGTTTATTCATCTTCCCTTTGGCACAGAAATGTAAGTCATCTTAGTATCTGATGCTCTTAATTCAGTATCGGCACCAGGCGCCATTCTGTTCTTTTATTAAATTCCAAGCTGTGGTGATCTACCCCAGTGTGGCACATAAACTTAGGTTCCTGCTTGAAATAACAGTCAGCCTAAGCACACTTCAAAGGATAAAGAAGGAGTCTCATGGTTAGTGATTAAACTGCAATACTGCAGTTAAGACTCTGCTCGTGACCTGCGTTTGATCCCGGTGGGCTCAGGTTGCTGATTTCAGGTTGACTCTGCCTTCCATCCTTCTCTGTTTGGTAAATTGGCGTGACCTGCGCTTGATCGCGATGGGCTCAGGTTGCCGATTTCAGGGTGACTCAGCCTTCCATCCTTCTCTGTTTGGTAAATTGACTACCCAGCTCAATTAAATTATGTATAGCTGGCATAATTAAATTGTAAACCACCCCAGAGAGTGCTATGGGGCAGTATATAAGCAACATGCTTTGCTTTTTCCTTGGGTTTTGTTGGCAACCGTATGTCACCTGGAACATGGGCAGCTGAAGGCAAGGCTGTTCTGTGGCTGACCAAGGGTTATGGTGCTGTATAGGAACGTGCCTCACATTGATCGCATGCACATGAAGGTCAGAACACTTTCCTAGCTCTTATCTCAAGACGTTATTAGAGGGTTCTTATTCCTTGTGCCTCATTCAGCTTCAGCATCAAAACCCACAACCCTTTGCTGAGGATTCCTTTCACACGTGAGGAATGGGGTGTATGAGCAGGGATTCTTGCCTGCCCTGCAGCTGATTTTGACCCTGCTGTGTTCCTCTGTTTTCAACTGCATCTTCACCTGTGGGCAATCACAAAAGTGATCGCAAAAAGCTCGTCACAAAGCGATTTCATCGCTAAACGGAGCACTCGCTAAGTGAGGCACCACTATATAAGCAGCATGCTTTGCTTTTTCCTTGGCTTTTGTTGCCAAGCTTATGTCACCTGGAACATGGGCAGATGAAGGCAAGGCTGTTCTGTGGCTGACCAAGGGTTATGGTGCTGTATAGGAACGTGCCTCACATTGATCGCATGCACATGAAGGTCAGAACACTTTCCTAGCTCTTATCTCAAGACGTTATTAGAGGGTTCTTATTCCTTGTGCCTCATTCAGCTTCAGCATCAAAACCCACAACCCTTTGCTGAGGATTCCTTTCACACATGAGGAATGGGGTGTATGAGCAGGGATTCTTGCCTGCCCTGCAGCTGATTTTGACCCTGCTGTGTTCCTCTGTTTTCAACTGCATCTTCACCTGTGTTTTAGGGTCCAACGGCAGATGAGTTCCTGGGTGCTTTGGATGCAGAAGAAAAGTCTGTAGAAGCCGAGCAAAACGGCCATCTGGAGGCGAGTGTGCTGGGTAAGGACCGGCTCTGAGCTGTCCCCAGTGTTTTGCTACCTTTGCTTTTGTGAGAAGCTGCACCTGCCGAGGTGAAAAGGACGCCCGAGGCTTCCGTACTTGTACGGCTCTTGGAGAAGAGGAGATTCGGATAGATATGTGGGATGAAGTGTGTCGGGGGGATTTCCTTTTCAGGGCTCTTCCATGATGATACAGAGTTCTTTTTTTAAGAAAAAAAAATTAATTGAATCTAAAATACACCCCAAAATTACAGAAATAATAGCTAAACAATTTAATATATACAGTGGTGCCTTGCTTAACGGCCGCCCCGCGCCGCCTATCCCAGCCGGTTTAATGCGTTTCTATGGGGTTTTCCCTCCTACATTGTGATGTTTCCGTATAGCGACGATTAATCCGGAACGGATTAATGTCGCTATGCGGGGCACCACTATACATGCATACACAAAGTATGCATCCCATCCACTGGGGCTCTTTGAAGACAGGCTGTATTTATTTCATTCATGATGCCCCATTCCCCTTCCAGAACTGTGCCCGAGGCTTCCGTACTTGTACGGATCTTGGAGAAGAGGAGATTTAGACAGATACGTGGGATGAAGTGTGTTGGGAGGGTGGGTGGAATTTCCTTTTCAGGGCTCTTCCATGATGATGTGGAGTTCTTTTTTTAAGAAAAAATAATTTTTAAAATTGAATCTAATATCCACCCAAAATTACAGAAATAAAAGCTAAACAATTTTAATATATACATGCATACACAAAGTGCTCCCCTCCACTGGGACCCTTTGAAGACAGGCTGTATTTATTTCATTCATGCCCCATTCCCCTTCCAGAACTGGATTGATTGTTTGGAAGGTTTGGGACCCCATTACTTGTCGGAGTCATGCATACACAAAGTATGCATCCCATCCACTGGGGCTCTTTGAAGACAGGCTGTATTTATTTCATTCATGATGCCCCATTCCCCTTCCAGAACTGGATTGATTGTTTGGAAGGTTTGGGACCCCATTACTTGTCGGAGTGCCTGACCCCAGTGTCATCTGTCTGATCCACCAGATCCTCCCAGACCAGGCTCCTCCGTGTGGCCACCCAAAGAGAAGTCTGAAAGTCTTCCACTAAAGGCAGGGTCTCCTCCGTGGTGGCCCCAACCTTAATGGAATCAGCTCCTGGCTCCCTCCCTTTTGTCATTCAGAAAAAAAACTCAAGGCCTTTCTTTTTCAGACCGACCTGGGTTGATATTTGATTCATCTCCTGTCCTGCCACTTCTGTAAATTGTTTTGGTGCCATCTGGTTTTCGTATTGTGAGAGTTTTAAATGTTTATTTAGTCTTGATGTTGGTTTTAACCTTTCGTTAAACCACCCAGAATAGTGCATAGCAGTAATGGGGCGAGGTATACATTTAATTAATTAATAAATAAAGTACAGTAGGGCCCCCATATTCTTAGGATCAATATCCACAATTTCACTTATCCACATTCTGCAAATATTAAAAATATTTAAAGAAAAAAAAACAGAAAAACTATTTTCATGTGTCTTACCAGAATATTTGATTCATCTCCTGTCCTGCCACTTCTGTAAATTGTTTTGGTGCCATCTGGTTTTCATATTGTGAGAGTTTTAAATGTTTATTTAGTCTTGATGTTGGTTTTAACCTTTCGTTAAACCACCCAGAATAGTGCATAGCACTAATGGGGCGAGGTATACAGTTAATTAATTAATTAATTAATTAAGTACAGTAGGGCCCCCATATTCTTAGGATCAGTATCCACAATTTCACTTATCCACATTCTGCAAATATTAAAAATATTTAAAGAAAAAAAAACAGAAAAACTATTTTCATGTGTCTTACCAGAACCTACCACTAAAGGAAGCCAGAGACCGTGAAGAATATATGCCATGATCTCTGTCACCCTCTAGTGGCCAGATCTGGTAATGCATGTTAAAATAATTGTAAAAAATCTATGCAGGATTGGAACCAATCAACAGTAGATATGGGGATCCTATTGTAGTTCCACTTGAATCAGTGGAAGTTATGGCAAAGTTGTCTCATTAAATTCCTATTGATTCAGTGTGCCCGGCACTGGTGCAATTTACTACACTAAGCAATGGAATTTTGGACAGTATGTACAGTGGTGCCCCGCATAGCGAGCGCCCCGTTTAACGACGAATCCGCATAGCGATGCGGATTTTGTGATCGCAAAAGCGATCACATTGCGATGTTTTTAATGCCTAAAAATCACATTTACTGATCTTCGCATTGCGACGTTTAGAAAATAGCTGATCGGCGGTTCCAAAATGGCTGCCGGGTGAAGAAAATGGCCACCCGCAGCGTTTTCACACCCTGACCTCGCTTACCGGGCAGCAAAAATGGCGGCCGGATGGAGGATTTTCCCCGGATGGAGGATTTTCCTATGGGGTTTTTCGTTCCGTATAGCGACGATTCCGGATAGTGACGATTTTCCTGGAACGGATTATCATCGCTATGCGGGCACCATTGTATTTATCTGTGAGATACATTTGTGTGGTTATCTGTATTCCTTTGTCAGAGGAGGTGGTAGAAAGGAAGTCAGGATCTTAAGCCTTGATCCAAGGGAAATTAGATCATTTCTTTCATTGATCACTTTTAGGCAAACTTTTTTTTATAGAGAGCTTGGGGGATGCTTTGTCCTTTTTATGCTTTTGAACGTAATGCAGCTCCGTTTAATTGGGATTGTCCTCCTGTTTTTAATTTGTTTCTTCAGTGTTTGATTATTACGACGCTGCATTTTCATCTATGTTTTGCCTGGGCAACGAGAGGGCAGAGTGATGAAAAAAGCCATAAATGTGTTCAGTCGAAGGATTAAGGGATGGACTAGTTTCCCTTCTGAATTCTAAAATCCATTTTCCATCATTCGCAGACAGTGGGATCAGATGCCCAAGTCAGACCACTGCCTTGCTCCCCCCGGAAGGACAGAGAACAAGCCAAACTGCAGTGGAAGAGGTACATGCTGTTCTGGTGAATCTATTCAGGACATGAAACATTAGATTTACATGAGAGTCAAACTCTCACACATATCCTAATTCAGACTCAGATCTGTGGCCGGTGCATACAGCAAAACGAAGGAGGGAAATCCTTATTTTTTAAAATATTTTTATGTTGGAAACCACCCAGAGTAGTGGTCAGTCCACTGGATGGAGTAGTGTAGAAATATGCTTGCTTGCTTGCTTGCTTGGTTGAGTGATTGATTGATTGATTGATAATTGCATATTTCTGGGAGAGATGTGTATCCTCAGATTGATGGCACAGCTAAAGAATATTAGCTAACACTTGGGGTCATAGGCAATGTTTGTTTCACTGAGTATTTCCCCACTTGTTCTGAAATTGTATTCGCGAAGGCTTTCTGAAATTACTTGTTCTGAGGTTCAGGGCTCATGCGTGATGCCGTCACCTTCTCTCTCCGACAATAAAATCTGATGGGAGTTTATGTGTGTGTTTTGGGTTTTTCTTCTTCCTGTTTGCAGAGACAAAGAAAGTTCAAGGAGACCAGCCTGTCATTGCAGGTCGTCAAGCGGAGTCTCACGCAACCAGGACAGGAGACTATGGTCTGGCATGTTTTGCAGGAGGAGGAGGAGGAGGATGAAGATCCTTTAGGTAAGGAGGCGCTCTGCTCAGTCTGGTAGAGCCCGTGAATGCCAGCCAGGCCTTTGCCACTCATTTTCAGAACCAGGAAGGTCTGAGGGAGAAAAAAAAGAGAGGTGTCCCCTTTCAAATTATTTTTGAAACAACTGGGAAGCATGTCGGTTTTACTCCACTTCCAGTCATTTTGACAGAAATAGAAACCAAAGGGTGGAAAATTGGCAATTCAGAGCAGTAGCTGATCAGGATAGTGAACAGCAACTGCCATCTTGTTTACCAGAAAGCTTGGCCTCAATGTTTATTTTGTTTGGCTCCCCTCTGTTTCCCCTTATCTCTGTTCCTTCACTCCTCGCCCCAACCTATTGTTCCCACATAGTAAGTGTAACAATCTTTGCCGGTTTTCTCTCTGTTTCGTAGTCAGCACACGGACAGGTCGGAAATCTGGATGGGAATTGGTGGAATGTCTACTTGTGTCCCCAAACCCCTTCGCAATTCATGAAACGATACCGATGAGATCAAATCCCAGATCCACCAAGATCAGTTTTTCTGCTTCCCACAGTTAGCTGGTCCAGATACTCTCCAAGCGAGGCCGTGAAGTAACAGCTGCCCATTATCGCATTTCCCAAGGAAAACCTATTTCATGTCAGTCTGTATCCTCCCGTGGCATTTTTTTAGCCCCTTCATAAAATAAAAGGCTAGATATGGCCTCCAAAATCATTCTGTTGCCCTTTTAAAAGCAGTGCCAGATTCTAGTTGGAACTCCCTCCCACAGGAGGCCCGGCTGGCCCCGTCTTCGATGTCCCTCCGCAAGCAGTCCAAGGCCTTTCTCTTCAGGCAAGCTTTTCATGAGTGACTGCTTGCCTTCATTTTAAATAAATACAGTTGTGCCCTGCTTTATGATTGCCCTGCATTATGACGAAACCGCATTATGACAACATTTTTGTGATCGCTTTTGCAATCTCAAAACGATGGTCTGAATAGGCTTTTTTCGCTTTGCAATGATCGGTTCCCTGCTTCGGGAACCGATTCTTCGCAAAAAGACGATTTTTCTACAGCTGATCGGCGGTTTCAAAATGCCCGCCGGGTAAATAAAATGGCTCCCCGCTGTTTTCTGGGACGGATCCTCGCAAGATAGCCACCGAAAATGGCCGCCCTATGGAGGATCTTCACTGGATGATGAGTTTCCAGCCCATTGGAACACATTGAAGGTGTTTCAATGCGTTTCAATGGCCTTTTTATTTTCGCATTACTACGTTTTTGTTCTACAGCGATTTCGCTGGAACGAATTAATGTTGTAATGCGAGGCACCACTGTAAATGGATGTGGTAGATGATCTATTGCTGTGTGCTTGTCGACGGAGAGTTAGGGTGATGTGGTGAGCAGAAAGAAACACACAGAAGCCCTCGCACCCTGGGGAGTCTCACTGAATTCCATTGGGCCTGGTCTCTGAGGTTAAGTGCTCAATAGACAGACAGCCCTCCTTTCTACACCAGATCTGGGCCACTGAGCATCTTTACAAGGTAACCTCCCTACAGTGAATCTAGTAAGGAAGAATGGAAGGCCCTGTTCCTCTTGGGAGCAGTACATTGCTCTGTACAGAGTGAAACGTACTCTTCCTTGGCCCAGGTCTGTCTTGATCAGATACCATCTGATCCTTGTGACCAGATTAGCTACTCTTGGAACACCAGGTTTATAAGTTTAGGATGCTATGTGTGGTTTTGTTCTGTGTTTGCGATATCCCTTAGACTGGTGTCAGGACATCCGTGAAATAATGTATAAATGTGTTTTATGAGGCAAATGTCTCATTCAATACACCAGCAGTCTCTTCGACCATCAGATGAATATCAGGGTAACCTCCTGGTTTGCTGAACTTCCTGCGTTTCTCATGTTCCTCATTGTTCCAGAAGTGGTAGTTCTTGAATGTGTCTTTTCTCCTCTCTCTTTCTGCAGGAATTGGGATGGGAAATCAGATCCAAATGGCGACGTCTCAGTATGGAGGAAATCAGACAGAAGATCTACCCAGGACGGCCTTGCCAGTAAGCCAAGAGAATGCACTGAAGACACAGGAGGAAGCATGTCAGTCCAGAGCGGAGCTGGGAGATTGTCCAGTGGAGGTGGAGGAAAATTGTACAGTGCTCACCGGAGGTCTTTCAGCTTCTGTTCATCCGTCTTCCAATGTACAGACGAGTGACCAAAAGCCTTTGGTCTCCAGGTACACTAGAAAGCATCATTACCTATATGAACGCAATATCACAGATTCCATGGAGGATCATATTGGAAGCCACGCATCAGAGGAGAACCTCCGACCCAGTTCATCCTGTGATCAACAAGACAGGAAGCTAACAGGAAAGAGTAAATTTGAATTTTCTGAAAACTGGAAAGAGGACAGTTTGGACAGAAAACAGAGCGATCATTCAAAAGAGAAATTCCATGACTCTCCCGAGCACGGGAACAGATTGAGTTATACAAAGTCCCTCGAGAGAAACCAAGGGATTCAAAGCGAAGGGAAACTCTATGAATGCTCTCACTGTAGGAAAGGTTTCGGCGAGAGAGGACTTCTGATCAGTCACGAGCAACTCTGTCCTGCAAAGAAAAGGCAGGAGTATCACAAATCTGGGAGGATGTTCACTTTTCGACAGGCCGTCATGAAAGACCAGGGACTTTATATTGGAGGGAAACCCTACGAATGTTCTTGGTGCGGGAGGTATTTCAGCAAGCGAGACAAGCTGAAGAGACATCAGAGAACTCATACGGGGGAAAGACTGTATAAATGTCTTGAATGTGGGAAAAGCTTCGCTCGGAAAGAACATTTGAAGATCCATCAGAGGACTCATACGGGAGAGAAACCGTACGAGTGTCCTGAATGCAGGAAATGCTTTACAGAGGGAGGGAGTCTGAAGAAACATCAGAGGATTCATACTGGAGAGAAACCATACAAATGTTCTCAGTGTGCTGAAAGCTTCCGTCTGAGAGAACATTTGAAGAAGCACCAGAGGATTCATACTGAAGAGACGCCGTACAAGTGTTCTCGGTGCTGGAAAAGTTTCAGTCGGATCGAACATTTGAAGGCCCATCAGAAAATTCATACAGGAGAGAAACCCTACAAATGTCCAGAATGTGGGGAAACATTCAGGCATAATGGAAGCTTAAGGTATCATCAGAGAATCCATGTCCAAGAGGGGCCCAAATTGGATCTAGGTACGGGAAACGCTTGGCTAGAGGAAAATGTTTCAACCAATATGACAGAAATTGTACTAACGGTGTGAAGAAAGATTTGTTCAGGCAGTGTATTTATAGGATCATCACAGAGACTGCAGGAAGTGGAAGCCTTCGTAACATGTAGAAGAAGATAACCTTAGACAGACCAATTCATCAGGTATCAGAGACGTTTGGGAAGCATTTCATTCAAAAAGATACAGGCCAGAATCCAACTGAATATTTATGCCAATTAACTTGAGTTCTAGATCAAATTGAGCCTGAACTCTCCCTAGAAAGACTAATGGTGAAACCGAGGCTCTTGTACTTTGGGCACATCATGAGAAGACAAGACTTGCTCAAAAGACAATCATGTGGGGAAAACCTCAAGGCAGCAGGAAAAGAGCAGCCCTATATACAAGGTGGATTGACTCCATCAAAGAAGCCACAGGTTGTGAGAGCTGAGCAGGGCTATTAATGCTAGGATATTTTGGAGGCTACTCATTCACAGGGTCATCATTAGTTGGATGTGACATGGTGGCACACAACAACAACAACAACAACACCAAGCGCTAAGGCACAGCTGAGATTGGCAAATACAGTGATGCCTCGCTTAACGGCGATAATCCATTCCAGGAAAATCGCTGTTAAGCAAAAACATCGTAAAGTGATAAAAAAAACATTGAAACGCATTGAAACCCCTTCAATGCGTTGCAATGGGGTCAAAACTCACAGTCCAGTGAAGATCCTCCATAGGTCAGCCGTTTTCGCTGCCTGTCTTGCGAGGAATCCGTCCCAGAAAACAGCAGGGAACCATTTTGTTTACCTGACGGCTATTTTGAAACCGCTGATTAACTGTTTTAAGATCCTCGTTTTGTGAAGAATCGGTTCCTGAAGCAGGGAACTGATCACCGCAAAGCGAAAAAAAACCCATTTAGACCATCGTTTTGCGATCGCAATTGCAATCGCAAAAAGATTGTTGTAATGGGGGGTAATCGTAAAGTGAGGCACGACTGTAGTTGCTAATCAGTAAGTCCTCAGTTGAATTCCTAGTTGCATTCTGAGTCACACAACCAGTGTGTAGTTAGGCGATCAGACTCATTCATATACGGCTACTGCTAGTTACACCATTAAGCTGGATTCTGGCTGAAACGATTAAACTTCAGGGAGAATCCCAAGGATTTAGCCATAGCCATATCTTAAGCGCAGGTGAAAAAATGGAGCTAGGAAAAAAGCCCAGGTCAGAGAAGCTGAAAAACAGACAGATGTAATTAGACTTCAGAGCAAGAATAAGGAATACTTGTGAATGGATGAAGCATCAGTGTAAGACCCCCCCCCTCTCCTTTCCATTCTGCAACTTGTCGCACCCTTTGTCATTAACCTTAATGGGTGTCATTATTATTATTATTTAATTATTTATTCAAAGCATTTATTTAGTGCCTTTTCTGCCCAGGCGTGGCTTTCACAGTGATTTGCGACAGATTAAAATGGTTAAATATATATTTGTAAAAACAGATCTAGGCCTTCCCTTAAGAAAAAACAATGGTTTTTAAAAGATCCTAGAAGCCAAAGGCTCCTCGGAACAAGACTGTTTTAGCTACTTGTCAGACTTTCACAAGAAATGAGATGAGTCTTACTTGTCTTGGAAAGAAATTTGACTTTTGAGATCCTGCGGCAGAGAAATTTGAGGTGCTGCTGTCTCGCTTCATTGTAGGGACATTTTATTTCTCCATTCTTAGTTTAGCCCTCACAGAATGATACTATTGTTATTATTATGGCACAAAACCTTTGCGTTGCACAAAGGCCTGGTTGTTCAAAGACACGAATGTCTACATTTGCTTCTACTACATGGTTTTATGGGGATTTACAGTGCCTCCTAATCTCTGTAGTTGTAATGTTCCTGATCTCACTGCAAGAATCAGTGTCATGGAATCATAGAATCATGGAGTTCGAAGGGGCCGATAAAGCCATCGAGTTCAACCCCTTGCTTAATGCAGGAATACAAGTCAAAGCAGATCTGACGGATGGTGGTCCAGTTTTATTATAGAATGAAGTTGCCTTTGTGTTGTTGTTGAGAAAAATATCTCTTTTTTGGTGTAGAGGACGAAGAGTACGGTAGGATCCCTTATTCATGGGATCAGTATGTCAATTCCTTTATCCATGGTCTGAAAATACAGTGGTACCTCGCAAGACGGTTACCCCCTCAAAACGATGAATCCGCATGAAGACGACGTTTTGCAGCAGCCATTTTGATTCGCAAAACAGTGATTCCGATGGGGGAATTTCGCTGGACACAGATTTGGTCTGTGCTTCGCGGACCGTTTTTTCACAACACGATGATTTAGAACAGCTGATTGGCTGTTCACAAAATGGCTTCCCTAGGGGCGATCCTCGCACAACGGGTGTTTTCAAGCCCGTTTTTTGCAAGACGGCGATTAAAAACAGCTGATCGGCGGTTCGCAAAGCGGCTTTCCTATGGCCGATCTTCGCTAGATGATGACAATTCTTCCCCAATGGAACACATTAAACAGGTTTCAATGCATTCCAATGGGGAAATGCTTTTTGCTAAATGATGATTTCGCTAAACAGCGATTTCAGTGGAACGGATTATCATCGTCTAGCGAGGCACCACTGTATTAAAAGAAAAATCCTAGAAATTTGTATTTCTAAAGGTGAAGTTACCAGAACAGGTCATTAGAGGAAGCCAGAGACCATGCTATGTATGTTGTTGTTGTTTAGTCGTGTCCAACTCTTCACGACCTCATGGACCAGAGAACACCAAGCCCTCCCGTCTTCCACTGCCTTCCAGAGTTTGGTCAAAATGCTATGTATAGCATTCACTATTAAAATAGTGTTCATTATAATCTTGGGGGGAAGGCTTGGGACCAATGACCACAGATACAGGGATCATACTGTACTTCAAATACTTCTTTTTATTAATAATATTTTTGTATATTGTGTTGTAACTTGATGATTAAACCAAGCAATTTTTAAAAAAACCTAAAATTTGCCTGCCCTCACTTGTATTTGTTATAGTAGTAGAAAGTCTCTGACTCCTTATTCATTTAATTTTTATTTCACTGCTCTGACAAAGAGCTCAAGTTTGGTGATGTGGTTCAAGAAATCTACTAGTCCACAGAGTTTCAGCAGAAAGGCTTGCTAAGTTTGCCACAGCCTCCCAGTCGACTCTTCTGGCTCTGTCGTCATCTTCTTTTAAACGTTTCTATTGATTAGTTAAAAATAAGAAAAGAAAATCACATAACAGCTAAAAAGGAGATACAATAGGTCTAACAGAATTGTAACTCAAAAAAGAAGGGGGAAAAAAGATGGGCAGCAAAAAAGCAAAACAAAAGAAGATGTCTATAGGCTTTTATAAAAGGCTTCCATATACAGTGGTGCCCCGCATAGCGAGGTTAATCCGTTCCGGATTAACCCTCGCTATGCGGAATCGTCGCTAAACGGGTAGAGGAAACGTATTGAAACGCATTAAACTTAGTTTAATGCGTTCCAATACCTTGCTTACTTACCCGTTCAGCGAGGATTCCCCTTGCTGGCAGCCATTTTCGCGCCCTCGCTAAGCGAGGGCAGGGCGCGAAAACAGCTGCCGGCAGCCATTTCCGGGCTTCCGGCGGCCATTTTGGAACCACCGATCAGCTGTTCGGCGGCTTCAAAATGGCCGCCGCAATACCCGATCTTCGCAATGCGGGTTTTCCCCATTGCGAAGATCGGGTATGTTTCCGTATAGCGATCCCGAAAAAGGGATCGCTATACGGAAACATCGCTATACGGTGCACTCGCTAAGCGAGGCACCACTGTACAGTATATATCGAAAGGAAGGGAAAAGAAAATATTGCATATATATAAAATCATGTGTTTTAAATTGTAGTTTAATTCAATAGTGTGTAACTTGTGAGACACCTTGACTCCCAGCTTCGGCAGAAAGGTGACGGTCTAAGTATGATAAACGGAGCCCTAAAATTATGCTTAACAAAAGGAAAACGGAGCTGAGACAGAGTGAAAAGAAAGTAAAGATTGTTTTTTAAAAAATTAATTTAACCAAGATTGGAGCAGGGCTGTTCATAATAGGAACTTTGGCCGGTTCAGTAATCTTTGGAAACTGGCAGGTAGTCACAACTTCTTTATTCACCTCATAGATCTTTTGCTTTTCTGCAAGATGCTCAGGGCCTCATGCATGTGGTGCTGGAGGAGAGCTTTGCAGATACCCTGGAGTGCCAGAAAGATGAAAAAGTGGGTCTTAGACTAAATCAAGCCTGAACTATCTCTGGAGGCAGAAAATGTTGAAACTGAGGCTGTCCTGAGAAGGCAGGATTCTCTGGAAAAGCCAATCCTGCTGGGAAAGGTAGAAGGCAGCAGGAAAATATCAAATATGAGGTGGCCTGACTTCCTAAGGGAAGCCACAGGCTTGAGTTTACAGGAGCTGAAAAATGTTGCCGAGGGTCTCTCCACAGACTTTGTGAGTCAGTCAGCTTTGGGTGAAAAGGGAACGGGACACCAAGTTTGGGACACTGCATTTTAAGAAAGATGCGGACAAAGATGCGGACCGAGTAGACATGGTCTAGAGGGGCGGGGTAAAAATCAAATAAATAAATAAATAAATAAATAAACTGAATAAACTGGAACAAGTTCGGAGGAGGGCAATAAGGAGGATCAGGGGACTGGAAACCAAGCCCGTAACAAGGAAAGACTGAAAGAACTGGACATGTTTAGCCTTGAGAAAATAAAACTGAGGGGAGAGAGGATAGCATTCTTCAGATAGTTGAAAGATAGTCATCTAGAGGAGGGGCAGGATTTATTCATCTAATTCATTCAAGCAGAATGAATTAGATGCAAGGACAAAAATCCCAGTCATACATATACTCCTTCCTGGAATATCTCCTTGCTCCTCTGGGGGTACACTCTCTGATTTTGAGAGACGTGGTATATCTAGAGAGAGTGTGTCAGATAGTTGAGCCGAGGTACACGAAATCATGAACAGCCTTGTGTAGAGATGGTAATAGAGGAAGGTGAGTCTACACCCCAGCCGATAACTTGTGTTTTCTTCATTATGATAGTTAATCCAAAGTCTTGGCAGGCCTCGCTGAAACGATTCATGAGTTGTTGGAGGTCTTCAGCAGAGTGGGCAACAATGGCTGCATCATCGGCGAAGAGGAAGTCCCGTATGCATTTCAGTTGGACTTTGGTCTTTCCTCTCAATCTAGAGAGGTTAAACAGCTTTCCGTCTGATTTAGTCCGGAGATAGACACCTTCTGTTGCAGTTCCAAAGGCGTGCTTCAGCATGAGAGCAAAGAAGATCCCAAACAGAGTTGGCGCAAGGACACAGCTCTGTTTCACTCCTCTTCAGATGTCAAGGGGACCTGATGTTGAGCCATCAAAAACTACAGTGCCCTTCATTCCCTCATGACAGCATCTGATGATGCTAAGGAGCTGAGGTGGCCATCCAATCTTGGGAAGTATTTTAAAAAGGCTGTCCCTGCTAACTAAATCAAAGGCCTTTGTGAGATCTATGAAGGCCACAAAGAGTAGCTGTCGTTTCCTACATTTCTGCAACTGTGTGAATGAAAATACCATGCCAATGGTGGATCTATTAGCTTGATATCCACACTGTGATTCTGGATAGACTCTGTCT